CCCCCAACCCCCGCCCCCACCTGCAGAAGAGCGAGTACTGGTACACCAGGTGGGGTATGGCCGGCTTGAAGGCGCAGGCCGTGGCGCCAAAGAGCTCCGCCATGAGCGGCGCGTTCTCCGCCACAGTGCTGCAGATGACGCGGCCGCCGGGGGCCAGCAGCAGCGCCGCGGTGCGTGCGTACTGCAAAGCCGAGAGGGGCAGCCAGGGGCCCGGCGGTGTCCCAAGCCGGCCACGCCATGGCAATTTTCTAACCTGATGCAGCAGACCTTGGCAAGTGGAATGCACTTTTTGGGGCGCCTTTTCTCATGCACCGCGTACACAAGTTCCACGTCTGCCGGCCCCACCTGGCGCCACACTGGCTCGGTGATGAACGGCGGGTCGATCACCAGCATGCCGCAGCTGCCCGCCAGCTTCTCGGGCAGCTGCTCGGGCGCGTTGTAGTCGTAGCGCACAAATGCGGGGCTGGTGCCGAAGCTGGCTTCGTCATAGTCCAGCAGCACCGCATTCTGCGCCGCGGCGCAGCCCTTTTGAGGGTGTTTTGTGGGGGTGGGTGGGTGGAAGAGGTCGAGTGGTGCTGGTGGGTGTGAGCGGGTGGGGGTGGGGTTGGTGGCGGACAGCATGACACGTCGCGAGCGATGGGAGTGTGGCGCGTGTTGGTAGCTAGACATCAAACACGGCATCTGGGTGCATTTACGAAGCCATGCAAGTGCTTTGAGGCTGCGCTTCTGCAGACGGCGCCCGCTGGGGGCCGGTCATGGTGGTGGTGTCGCGTCACCTCTGGCAGGCTGTAGAAGAGGGAGGGCGTCGACAGGAACGCCACCTTGTCGCCGGCGGGCGCAGCGTCCAGAATCTCCTGGGGTGGTTGCACGGTCACGCCGGCAGACGCTTCATTCGCGGGAGGAGCCGGCGAGCCAGCCGCAGGCTCGGGGTGGTCGTGCGACTTGCTGATTGAGGAGGCTGCCGCCCGCCGAGCGCCGGCTGGACCCGCCCGCCCACCTGCACCAGTGCGCTGATCGTGCTGCCAGAGTACCAGTACTGATTGAAGTCAGCCCGCTCGTCGTGCCTGTGCGGCAAAGCGGCGGAGCGGCGGGTGCGCAACCATGATTTCGTGCCCGTTTTTCATCGGCTGCATCACTGCGCGACTGCTGGCTCAGCCGGCGCAGCGCATGGCGATCCGCCTCGCCGCCAATCTGCCCCATCCTGCATGATTCTTTGATCAACGTACCTCTCAAGGAAGGTCTGCGGCTCTACTGCTACCATGCTGGCGCCTTCGGTGGACCCGGAGGTCAACGTCAGTGCCCCCTGGGGCTTCCCACCTTGATTCAAACAATGTCGATCAAATATTGTAATGGACTGTAAGGGCCCGGGTTGTCACTTTGACGATCTCCCCTCCCGCGTATATACCGAAGTGACTCGGCTGCGGGGGCCGATTGCGGCCCGTTTGAGATATTTCTCGACTAGTGTGGTGCAATGACACCCGCTGCTGGAGGCTGCCACCGTGACAACACGCCTACCATGGGCGCTCCCTTGGCTGCCACCGCCCTCCACCTATGCGACTGGTATTGAACTACTCCATGCTGCGTCTCTGGCTGCCTTCCCCAATGAGATCTGATGTCCTCGACAACGAACATGTAAATGGCGCACGAAGACGTTACACGTTGTGCAAAGCCACCGCGCCCGCTGCCTCCCACCTGCGCCGTCACACGACACACACACTGAGCGCCTGTCCCCCAGCCGCCCTCAAGCCGCCGCCGCTGCATCAGTTCTTGGTGCGGCCATAGGTCTTGAGCTTCTCCTCGTAGGTCTGGAACCTGCCGTGGCCGAACTTGGAGGCGGTGTCGATGAACTTGAGCTTGATCTCCTCCAGGGCGTTGCGGCTGGTCTGGGCCAGCAGCGTGCGGCGCAGCGTGATCGGGCGCTTCTTGGTGCCGGGGATGGCGCCCTGGGGTGGGGGGTGGGGGGGGAGCAGAGGATGGGTGTTGGGAGGGGGCCATGCCAGGAACGCATGTTTGTGCGGCGCAAGAACCGCACGGTGGTGGTGCATGACGGCATAACGCCTACTGCTTGAGCGCTGACAGATGTCCCAACCATATTTCGGCATGCTACCACCTTTGCGAGCAACATGACAGAACACAACCCCCAGCAACCCCCAGGCACCGCCACCAACAAGGGCCCAGACACCACCACCACCCCACCTTGAGCATGAGGTAGTCCTCCTTGACCACGCCGTAGTGGGGGAAGCCACCCATGGGGGTGATGTCCTTCTCCGTGAGGTCAAAGTCGGTGGCCGCGCCGTGGCTGGCCTCGCCCTTCTTGCCCAGCTGCGCGCGGTGATCGAGGGGGTGGGGGAGCAGGGTGCAGAAGAAGGGGTCAAAAAACTGGCTTGGGCACAAGTCGGCTCTCAAAGGAACGAGCAGAGGAGCTGCGAGGCAAAGCGACAGCGCCTCTGGGCGCACGCCATGCCGCCCGACGGCGCAACTGCCTGCTCGTGCTGCGCTGCAGCTTCGCACCCCCGCCCCTCTCAGACCCAGCTTTCGCGTCCCCAGCCCGGCCCGGGCGCATGCGAGCTACAAGCCCCCTGCGTGCCTTGTAGATCTTCTTGTTGACCTCCGTGCGGTGGTGGAAGCCGTGCTGACCCGCGCGGGGCACGCTCCACTGCAGGCGCGCCGGGTGCCACGCGCCCACGCAGGCCACCTTGCGGAGGCCACGGTGGGTCTTGCGGGGCAGGCGGGTGACGCCCCAGCGGGTGACGACGCCCTCGGTACCGCGACCCTTGGTGATGGCGATGGTGTCGATCATCTCGTTCACCGCAAACACGCTGTCCACGGTCACGGCCTGGGGGTGGCGTGAGCACCAGGTGTTCGGATGGGCGGGGGACAAATTGACGGGGGTGTCCAGGGGTGTCTGGAGGGGTTGCAGTTGACAGACGAGTCCAAAGCATGGGAGGACCGCCCACAAGTCCATCTTGTGCTGATCAGGCGGCCCCCATGAGAGAGCCGCAGCACCAAGCCTCCTGCACCGCCGCCGCCAAATCACCCCCCCCCCTCCCGCGGCAGCCGCGAGTGGCGGCCCCCTCCAAAGAAGCCCCGTTCCCCCCCTGGGCGCACCTTCTCGAACATGGAGTAGGCGAAGTCCACCTTGGCGGCGGTGGTGCCACCGTTGACCTGCACCTCCAGCAGGTGGGCCCTCTTCTGGCCGATGGGCAGCTTGCGCACCTGCGAGCGGGCGCGGCCGCGGTGGGGCGGGGGCGAACCCAGGCGCGGGTGCAGGCGTCAGTAATGCCCACAGCGCAAGCGGCTGGCCGTCGTCACCAGCATCAAACCAGCGCCGTCGCAACAATATCACAACTGTGCAGTGGGGGTCCTCTCCCTTCTAACCTAAGGGCGCTCCGCGATGATGTGCATCAACTCCCACCCTGAGCAGCGGCCCATGGCCCCCACCCGCACCTGGGTGTGGGCCAGCACGCGGATGACGGTGCAGTGCTTCTTGAGCTGCTCCAGCTCCGCCTCGATGGCCTTCTTGCCGTCGGCGTACTTCTTGACGTAGCGGGTGAACGCCCTCTTCTTGGCCTTGTACCTGGGGTTTTTTGGGGGGGGGGGGTAGGGGTGAGGAGGGGCGATGGGCTGATGGCTGAGCAAGGGTGGGGGCACAAAGGGCCAGGTGATGGGCTGCTGCTGCTGCTGCGACTGCTGCGGCTGCTGCTGCTACCGCCCCCGCCGGCCGCTGCCGGCAGCACCGATCAAAACCTCAACCGCACCGCTGCCGCTGCGAGCCTGGTGCCTGTCGGCCGCAGAGTTCACAGCATGAGCAGCCCAGCGCAGCCGCGCCCTGGCGGCTCCTCTTCGCGACCAGCAGCTGTCTGCATGCGCCCAACTCCTGGGGCACCACACCACAGGCCTGCCAAGCCGCTTTGGGCAGCTGGTTTCAAGGCCGCTGGGGCCAGCGCGCCCAATCAACCAGCAGCCATGCCCACACCTCACACCCAGGCCAACCACGCCAGCCCCCAGACACAGCTGACCAGCCCAGGCGTTGCGCGCCGCGCGCACCAGTTCTTGTAGAAGCGGCGCTTGCACTCGTCGCTGAGGTGCTCCGCCCACACGGTGTTGAGGGCGCGCAGGCCGCGCGTGGTCTTGACGTAGCCCACCACGCCCACCACGATCATGGGGGGGCACTCCACGATGGTCACGGGCTCGCAGGTCTCCTTCTTGTGCAGCTTGGACCCGGGCTTGTCCACATCGCGCAGGATGTGGGTCATGCCGGCCTTGTAGCCCACAAACGCGGTCAGGTGCACCGGCTTGGTGGCATCGTCGCGGGGGAACGACTTCACCTTGCCGCGCCCACGGCGGCAGCGCTTCTTGGGCAGGAAGCCCAGGGAGCCGCACCGGGGGTCTGCGGGTTTTTTTGGGAGGGGAGGGTTTGAGCCAAATTGGACGGGGTTGCTACTATGGTGTGGCAGAACGGCTGGATGCTGTGCTGCTGGTGGTGCGCTCAGACGAGGCGACGGCGGACACGGGATGCGCGCCACAGCAGGCACGTGCTGCCGATGCGCCAAGGGCACCCTAACCACGTCACAGCCAACCACGGGGACCAAGGTAATCGGGAAAAAAGCACTCACGTTCGAACTTGCGGTGACTGAATTGTCCGTCATGGGTCATGCATCGGGAGGCAAGGGGGGGCAGGAAGGAACCCAGGGTCAGCAGGTGCAAAGGACAGGTGCGGGCACAAAACTACGCCCCAGCGATTTCCGTCACATCTGTCGCCCCTCATTGCACAACTTGATCTACCCACCTCCTGCATGTTGTAAATGTAGGAGAATGTCATGCGAGGCAGGGATAGGGGGGGGGGAGCAGCGGTGAGCAAGTGCTGAGGAAGGCTAGTGCATACGACTGCGTATCGGTGCGAAAGTGCCGTCCCAACATCTGCCTCTGATGATGCAGCCGGAGAGCTGCTGCCAACGTGATCTTGCAGTTGCGCAAAAACTGTGTGCGACCAGCAAGGGTTGCCTGCTGCACTGATGTGTGCGCTGCTGTATCTCGCTCTGGCGCTCTGCTGCACTGCCTGCTGCTGCTGCTGCTCCATGCTGGCACACAGCCGCGGCCAGCCTTGCCACTGTTGGTGCAATGTGATAAACGCTGCAACGAACGACGACGTGCATGCGTGTGCTGTAGGCGGCCGCTCGCAGACGAAGCACTGCTCCACGGACGAGCTCCGGTGTGCGGCGGCTGGCTGCCCGTCGAGCCCGCCTGACTCCACACGCAATCTAGTTGATTACTGCGACGCGAGAGCGGTCCTGGCTTGTCTGCTGGCGAGCAGGCCGCCTCCGCGATCTCGGCCCTCGCCCATCGAAAATCAGGTCAAAAGCCACTCACATCTTCGCCAAGAGCTGTGTCGAGACACGGCGCCCACACCACGGGAAAAGGGCGATGTCAGGTGAGGGCCGTGTGTTTGTGCACCGACTCAGAAGCCAGCCAGACAGCACCTGTGCTGCAGCTGGTGTACAGAGAGATGACGTTTGCGTACTCCCGAAAGCATAAATGCCTTCCCCTGCTTGTGTCCCTGTCGCCTTGGTGCGTTGCCGCTCGCGCCGTCCTGGCGGCGTAATAGCGTACCTGTTCACTGGAGTCTCGGTTCGCGATCTTCGTGTTCAACACATCTATAACACCCTTGGAGCTGCACGGGCTGCACCTTGCTACATAGGTTATGCTGCGGTGCATTGCAGCGACCAGCCGCCGCGCACCAGTCATGCCTGCGCCACCTCGGTTGCTCATATGGAAACTCCGCACTTACTGTACAAAATGCGTGGCCATGGCCGCTGTTTGTTGCTTCTCGCTCTCCTCCCTGCCTGTAAATTTGACTACCTGCGTCTCTCACGCAGTCGGCCCCGCCATCGCCCGCCCCTCCCATCAGCCGGTGTCCTCGCCGGCGACCTGCAGGTTCCCTTGCCCTGTTCACCAGCACCCCAAGCACGCGACAGTTGCCTGCGAGAGCCACTGTCCCCGACACACAAGTGATTGGGCAGCTGCCGTGGCCGGCATCGCAATGCTGCTATCGGTCGCTGATGGGCGTCACCGCCTCTGGTCCGCGCCTCGTACCTCCTCGGCGCCTTGCCCAAGCCGTCCTCTCTCCTGTCTGTACTGACTGATGTCATTGCAGCCTCTCTGCGCCATCGTTCTTTGCAAAATCTCTATAAACCTGATGGCCTGTACCATTTGTTTCCCTAGCCTACCGTATTTTGTATATTTGACATGGACACTGCGGTCGCTTTGCTACAGTTGTGGCCGACACCAACTGAGAAACCAAGCTCCAAGGCATGAGAGACACCACTGCCGTGTCTTGCTGGGTGACTGCTTTGTTGACACCTGCAAAACTCCCCTTCAGAGCAGGGGCAACCAGCACCGGCTGCATCCACACATCAGTCAGTAAGGCGATGCACCCAGACCGGGGACTTACAGTTGGTTATGACGGGGGCGCACTGCAGCTATGGAGCCAGTAAGCCAGGGCTTGCCCACGAGCATGTTGTATGGCAGCACGTGCAGGCTGTCAAGCACGAGAGGGGAGCCAGCAGCCGGCGGTAGCGCTCAAGAAAATGGATTGGGTTTAGGGGACAAGGAATCAGGCGGCCTCGAGGCTTTCGTTGCATTGATGACCGGGCAGGCTGCTGAGCAAGCAGGGGCACGGGCCGCTGCGCCGCTCGTCCGAGGAGAGGCAGAGGCGCCGCGGCTGTCACCTCCACCCTGAGGGCGCCCCGCTGACGCCGCTGGACAGCCCGCCGCCGCCGCCGCCTCCCAGCAGCAGCGGCTCGTGCTCCTGCGCCCCCTCCTCCTCATCCGCGCTCGCCCCGCTGCCGCCGCTGCCGCCACTGCCGCCGCTCGCGCTGCCGCTGCCCCGCCGCCGGTCCTGCACGCCCGGCGTCTCCGCCCGCCGCCAGGCCACGCCGCTGCTGCTGCCGCCGCCGGCGGCGCCGCCGAGCGCGCTGGCGCGGCCGAGGCTGCCGGCGCGCGACACCAGCACCGCCGACTCCTTCGCGCCGCCCGCGGCCGCGGCGTCGGGCCCCGCCCCATACCCATGCAGGTCGCCGCCGCTGTCGCTGCTGCCTGGGCGCCGCACGAGCACAACCTCCTGTGACCCCAGCTCTCTCAACCGCCGCAGCTTGTACACGTTGAAAAGGGCGACCCCGCAGATCGCAACCGCGAGGCCGACGCCGTTGATGAGCCCGAAGCTGTCCCCGAAAATGAGGATGGCCCAGCCAATGGTGATGATCTCCTTCACCACGCCCGCCACCATGAACGTCAGCGCTGACGTGTCGCGGATGACCTGCGCGACAGCAGCCCGGGAGCGCGAGCGTTGCGGCATCTTTGCAAACTGGGGCGAGGTTTCAAAACATGGCAGACTTCGCCTGAGCGCCTGGCGGCGGACAACATAGCTCCAGGTCGTTTGAAGGAATCTCCTGTACCTAGATGTACGCGTCCCATGCCTCAAGAGCCAGCGGCGCTGTGCCTCAATTTTCGCACCCTGCACAGCGGCGGTACCAACCGACATCGAACATCCCCATCTCCCGGGGTTGTATCCTGCACGACGGCCGCGCTGGGTCCCCTCCCTCCCTCGCACCTCGAATTCGGCCCAGACCATGAGGAACGCTATGACGGCCCCCGCAAACACCAGGCCCGCGGTGCTGAGGCACGCCTGCAGCCCGTCAAAGTAGGGGCTGTCAGGCAGCGCGTCCCATAGGCCCTCGAAGGCCAGGGACAGGAGCAGGGTGGTGGCCGACATGACGGGGGTCAGTGCCTCCAGGACTTCTAGCGGGCCGCCAAACGGCGCTGCAGGGGAGGCGGGAAGGGATCACGGATCAGGTGTCAAGGTATTCAGGTGGGGAGATGGGGGGATATGTATGTGGTGGACGGGCTTGCAGGTTCAAGTGAATGGGGCCATGAGGCAGCAAAGCGAGGAGGAGACGAGAGCAAGCACGCCAGGGCCGGGGGTGCGGGTTGGAGGGGGCGGGACCGAGCGCGCCTGAGGCTCACATTGTCCGTGGCTGCTGCGGCCGTGCAGCAGGACCTGAGCGGCGGGCGAGGCGGAAAAGGAAGGGAGAGATCAAGGCGGAAGCACGGAGACAGGGGTGCCACTCAGCTCCGAGATACGGTGCGCACGCAGGGCGTGGTGCACGCACTGCCCCTGAGGCAACCTGCCGCTCCAGGAAGCCGGTCAAACCGACACATGTAACGCCCGCGCCCGTGTCCGCCCGTGGCTCAAAGTTCCAAGACGCGGCCCCGCCGCCCCACCTGCGTGAGTGTAAACCTGAGGCCGCTCATGCAGGACGCCGTCATGACGAGCGCAAACCCGGTCCCGTCAAACTTGGTCTCCCCCTTGACCAGCAGCAGCAGGCCCGTCACAATCACCAGCACCACGCCCGCCAGGCTCCAGGTCGGCCTGCGGGAGCAGCGGGTGCGCGCTCGCATCAAACGGAGGACGCCCGTGGCGGCGTCAAGGGGCGGTGCCATTACGCGTGCGCTGTGACGGGCGGTGCGATGTGACGGGCGGAAGGCTGCCTGAACGGGAAATTCCACCCTATCCGCACGGCATAAGTCCGATGCTCAGGGAACAGTCAGCACCCAGCCGTGATTCAGGGGACGGGCGCGTGATGGCGCGCTGCTCACTGCTCCAGGCCCCAGATGAAGGCAAAGGCCAGCAGGAATATGGGCGTGGTGGACTTGCACATTGTGTAGAATGACATCGTAATGTGTGCCAGGCTCTTGTTAGACAGGCCTATGTCCAGCCCGGTGATGGAGCCGTTGGGGAGCACTGCAGGCAGCAGGAGGGGGGGGAGATGGGACGAGGACGCCGTCAGCGTCCTGCCCGGTGCAGGCAGGGCTGTCAGGGGACACGCGGCTGCCCACACAACATGCAGCCAGTCTAATCCTTGACCGCGCAAAGGGCGCGCGCCTGCGGCGCTGGCGGGACGGCCCTTCCCGCCCGCGTGGCGCGCCGCCCTCTCACCGAGTCTGCACCAGTCTCGCCAGATCAGGGGCAGCGCAGTGCGCTTGACCAGCCCCACCGCAAAGACCGTCTTTGCCAGCATCGCCTGGAATGCAAACTGGAGCCCAGACATGAGCAGTGGGGCTGCGG